TAAAAACTCCCTATTATTATCAGTTCTATCAAGAATCCACTGACAAAATGTGATTCTTCGTTCTCCGTCCCCTGGCTGTAGTCCTTGCACAGGTTGCAAATGGTAATGATGTCTGTCGTCATTTCTAAGAACACGGTGAACATGGCTTGCTGAAATTCCCAAGGCACCAGAAACTCTCCTAACACTTGTGGTCGGATCTCTATCAAACTCACGCAGAATCATACGGGTAAATCTGCGCTGACGAACATTTATGTTTTGACCCCTTCGGAGATTTCCAAAACCATTTTCAATTATTTGGCGATGCACTCTTACATATACTGAGTGAGTTGGATGTCTTCTGTTTGGAAATCCTCGTGCGTATTCTCTGGCTGCTTCTGCTGCGTTTCCATTTACAAAGCCATACACAAAATGAATATCCGCTAACTCTTAATTGGAGAATAAAAATGTCATTTTTATAAAACTTACATAAAAAACAGATAAAATAAACTAAATTTCGTTCATTCACAATTGCAAAAAAACGTTTCAGGTTTCAACAGACAACAAAACTGTCAACTAATTGACGTTTAACCTTATTCTGCTTTCAGTTTCAAAAATATTTGCAGGCACAGCCTACTTCTAAAAATTATCGAGATACTGACCTTTTAACGTTATTTTATCATAAATAATTAAAAATGCATCGAACCTTAAAAATCGAAATTATCTCAAATCGGCTAACTATAACGAAAATTCACAAGAGAGCTTTTTTATGCAGAAAAGTGCGAAGAATTAGTTTTTTTATTCAAAAAGCACAAAATTGCACTAAGAAAAAATTTTCGGTCATTTTAATACACTACTGGTACAGTAGAGAGCGCCATCTAGCGGCTACAGTAAAACTGTGCCCATGGTTCGTTTTGTCGTACCAAAAAAACACTTGTATACCAATTTTCACTGTTATACATAAAATATTGTTCGAAATATTTAAAAAAAAAACTATTTTAGAAAGTAAATTTAAAACACCCTGTATTTCAGAAGCCACGCATTTTTCGACCCATGTTTATATAGACTTTATGCATTAATTTTAAAAGTTCTATCGAATCTTAAAGTTATGCAACAATAAACTGAAACACCCTGTATAGTGCGATTTGTTGGTGATTTTTGGTGGGTTTGTGACTTGTTGTATACTTTATATACCCTGTGATGTTAGTAAATTGATAAAAATGCGGTGTGCTGTTGTGGGATGTAATTCCGACAACCAATCTAAACTGGAAGACATGAAGTTCCACAGTTTTCCTCAAACCCAAACCTTAGCAAAAAATGGCTACATCATACAAAAAGAAAAATCAAAGTCAATGTAGAAAGCGCTAGGGTTTGCTCGAAGCACTTTAGTGAAAGTGCCTATAAGGTCAATTTGAAACATACCCTTTTAAGTTACACCCCTAAAAGACAGCGTGCTCCAAAAGATGATGCCATTCCTATAGAAAGTAGTAGAGTTTAAGTATAGAATGAGGTCATATATTTTGGGGCGAAACGAAGGCGCATACTTATTATTGCAGCGTAGAGGAAAAGGATACTTTGGACATTCCACTAACTGCATCATTAACGAATAAACTGAATGCACCTGAAGTATCAGCTGACTATAATGAGGAAGTTTTAGTGGAAGAAATAAATACACCTACATTGTGTCTCTCGCACCGCTAAGACTAATCTAACGACACCTTATATGTGAAAATCCGTCCAGCCGTTTAGCCTGTAGGTAAAAATAGGCACGTTATCCATATCGGTCTAAATGAGAGTCACTCTCTGCGTGACGTCATGCGCGCCGGCGGACGAAAATCGAACAGCGGAGCATCCGGCACTGGGCTACAGTACTGTGTTGTTTTTTTTGACATTTCGTAAGTTTTTTGTGACATAACGTAGGTTTTTTCTGCAAGATGTTAACTTCTCAAAAGTAGTTGTAGGTACACTTGTTGTGAACTCGTTTTGTAGCTAAACGTGATGCTTAAACGTCATCAGTAAGCGAGCAAAAGTGGGATGAACTATTTGCACTCTAGAAACTACCTAGTCTGCAAGATAACATTTTGTCGGTTTCGTCGGATTTAATACAAAATCTACCGAAAAACTTCTCAAATTCTTAAATACTTATACAGGGTATCCGCAAAGTTGGGGTTTTCCTTTACACGACGTGTAGATCTTGAAAACATAAGCAATTTTTCTTAGTACCATATACACCAATGTCTTAAGGGAACCGAGATAAAGGGCTCTGCACCATCAAAAATATCTGAATACCGTCCTGTAGCCGCGACATCCCCAAGTGGTACTAGGACACTAGCTCAACCCGACGACAGAACTGGGTCGGGGTCAGTGTGTCAGGTCAGTATGCAACCTTCAACAGACGGTTACGGTCACGCGTGTAGAGGTAAACGAACCCGTATAAGCGATTGCGTTTCAAAAAACAACAAGCACTAGAGACGTGGCTAGAGAAGTGCAAGTATCAAAAACTAAAGTGTGGCAAACGCTGCGTGAAGAGGGGCTGTATCCGTTTCACGTCCAACGTGTACAAGCCCTTCAACCTGACGATTTTCCAGCAAGAGTGCGGTTTTGTGAGTGGTTGTTGCGTCAACATGACAATAATCCGGACTTTTTGAAGTGCATATTGGTGACAGACGAATCTACGTTCACGCGTAATGGGGTGAATAACTTTCGCAACACTCATGATTGGTCAGTAGAAAATCCGCACGCCGTCCGTCGGGCACATTTTCAACAAATATTTTCGGTGAATGTTTGGGCTGGCATGGTGAACGGTATGCTCATTAGACCATTTATTCTCCCAAATCGATTAGACGGGATGCAATACCTAGACTTTTTACGTAACATTTTGCCTTCCTTGTTTGCCTGCGTCTGCTCGGTAGCGCATCAGCTGATTTCATTTTCTGTTGGAGCGGTATGATTTCGGGCAGAGACGTACTTAGCCCTTCTCGTCAACTGGAGAGTGGTGCTTTTTCCTTTATTTTTTTTTACTTGGTCGCCCTCGTTTCACTACACATTACCTTTGTTATTTCAAGGGTAGTTGTTTCTGAAAAGGAAAACCCCAACTTTGCGGACACCCTGTATATATTTTATATCAAAATCAGAATCTTTACCATACATAAATGGTTATACAAGATAGATTTACACTACAGTGAATAAACACCACAATTACACTACATTTAAAACTCACATATCAAAAACTCCAAATTAGCATCATCATTTACATAAAAGATGAACGATTCAGAGTGAGATTTTGGCCATCTCTTGTGCTAAATCTATAACAGGCACCGAGCTACAGGCAGTCAGGCTGGTGGAATACGTAACCAGAGGGTTCACCCTCAGCATGAGTACTGGCATTTTGCTTTTGGATGTCTCAAAAGCCTCTGACAAGGTGTGGCACGCTGGCCTCCTTTATAAACTAATCCAATAGGATTTTCCTTTTTGGCTTCTAAAATTACTGAAATCCTTTCTAGAAGAAAGGAAGTTTCGGATCAAAATTAACAATGTTTTGTCAACAACACGGCCAGCACGGGCCGGTGTTCCTCAGGGTTCGGTCCTAGGACCAAACCTTTATTCGCTTTTTATCCATGATGTCCCTTGCCCCAGCAACTGTGAAGTCTACCCCTATGCTGACGACACTGCACTTGTCGCCCAGTCGTGTACTGGTAATCTGGGTCACGATGGGTTGCAGAGTGCGGTGGAGGAAGTACTAGAGTGTGCGGAACGGTGTCTGATTGAAATTAATCATTCGAAAACGCAGGCTATTTACGAGTATTGTACAAAAAAAACGTCGCGGCCCCCCAGCAGAGGTATCTGTAGACGGCAATCGTGTACCATGGACAAATTCTGCCAAGTACCTCGATGTCGCACTTGATATAAGCATGATCTGGCAGAAACATACAGGGCAGCCTTGAAAACAAAATTCCAAATTGCGTTTCGGCAACTATATCCTTTGTTATGTAGATCCGCCAAATCGAGTTTGATAAACAAAGTTCGCCTATATAAAATGTTTATTAGACCAGCCATTACTTATGCATATGCGGCTTGGTGTTTTCTTGCCAAGACACATATGCAAAGCCTTCAAGTACTGCAAAGTAGAACTTTGCGAACAATTTGCAACGCTCCATGGTATGTCTCAAACGAGACACTACACAGAGACCTTGACATTCCTTACTTGAAGGATTATGTCAAACTTCAGGCGCAGCGACTCAGTGGACTACACAGTGGAGCAAGTTCCTAAACATTCAAGGCCACGGCTCGCACTGTAATCAAAAATTAACACGAACTTTTAGTACACTTAAAATCACACTCTAACAAAATTGAATGAAAAATTTGTTGTGTACCAAGTCAAAAAGCCTAGGTGTCTCCTCTTAAACTAAACACTTCTGTTTTTCTTTGCTATTCTCCATTTTTCTTCTCTTTCCCTTTCTCTTTTTCCTTGACGTCTGGTTTCTCGGCAACCAGTACTGACAGATTCGACTAACGTACATTAGACAGTGACTAATGGGCAAAGAGCCCAGACAAACAAATGACGAGTAGTACACACTTAAACAACAGGTACAGCTACAAACGGGTTCACCACAAGTGAACAACAGCTTGTACTAAGTTAACATCTTTTTGAAAAACCTACGAAATATCAAAAAAAACTACGAAACGCCATGCCGCACGGGTATTGCGTATCTTAAAAAGTGACATTTCGTAGTTCTATTTTGTGACATAACGTAGGTTTTTCTACAAGATGTTAATTTAGCACAAGCTGTTGTACGCTTGTACTTGTTGATTAAACGTCAGTGGAATGAACTATTTGCACATTAAAAACTACCTATTCTGCAACATCACATTTCGTCAGTTTTTTTGACGTTTTTTTAGGTTTTTTACATAATACCCCTGCCGAATGGGGTTCAAGCATTTTTTTTTGTTTAATGTCTACCGAAAAGTTTCCCAAAATTCTAGCGAGAACAAATCGACTCTACTTGGCAACACCGCACTTTCAAAGATTGTCACTCAGTGTCACAAATTTTTTTACGACACTACGACAGTATACATAACCTAAAATTCAGTTTTAAACTTTGAAATACGAACTCAAGAGTGGTCAGATAATGATAGGTTCTTCGTTTTAAACTAGACGAAATACTTGTAACAAACATGTATAAAAGATTTTTACCATATCTTTGTGATGCAGTGAATGGTAGAAGCTATTCCATTCTACAAATTACAAACAGTTACAAGATTGTCCAAGCAAACAACAATCGTAAGTTATTTATATCTCAAATTCTAAGCGATAAGATGATACTTTAAAATTAATATCAGGATCATCAATTCAATTTATTGGACAACGTGACCTTTGTATGGTTCATGTTTCAATCTGCTAAATATTTCCAGATGACCCATTGCAACATCACAATTTGTTGTTCAACATAATTTCTCTGAAGTACACTTCTTGCATAACACAAGATAGCTTAACAGCATCATATGAAGAAATAAAGAAATTGGGAAAGCAGCCTTCCAAGGATGTCTATATTATTGATGTAAGAGAACCTACTGAACTTCAAGAGACTGGTACTATTCCTAGCAGTTTGAACATTCCATGTATGTTGAATTTATTACTAGTAACAAAATCTACGATGCTTACAACCATACACTTTTTATACATGTTTTAATACCACTGATATAGCTTGTAACAAAAGTAGTGTGTAAATGTCTTGGATTGGTTTGGATATTCAATAGATTGATGTCAGAAATGTTCTGCCCCAGGGTTTTACTGGTGGGCCATGTTGGTGCCTCCAATAATAAAATAATCAACTTCCAAAGTTGTCAGTCACAGGTTGGGGCAACGGCAAGGCCTGCTGTGGCTAGATTGATACTGATGGTGGTACTTGGTCATTGAAAAATTTATAAGTTTTCAAATAAAACCATGTCTATAACCTTCCTTGGGTATCAATTAGTAAGTGTATCAATTTGTAGGTCTTTCCATATTCTGGTTTGGATGTGATGCTGACAGAATGGACAGACCTTTACATTTACATAATATATGTAAGATTTCTTTACAATTCATGATTCTTAAAAATTTTCACATATTAAGCAAACAAATCACAAACAAAAATTGTTATCACCGTTTTGATATCTGGAAACAGTGTCATAATCCTCATATACAAACTGTTGTGTGCATCGAACTTATTATTTCCTGTTTTTTTTTTGTGAATTATGGCAAAAATCATTGGGTATGTGTATATTTGGGTGAAAATTGGATTTGGGAAATTTCATGAAAAAAGCAGATGAATAAATTTAAAATTATGCCATAACCTTCCTCAAGTATCAATTAGTCTCTCCATATTGTGGTTCAGATGCAATACTGGCAGACTGACATACATTCACGTTCATATATATATATATATATAAAGGAGAAAATTATCATGCCGAGAAAGGTATATAACAAGTGGCTATAACCGGCCGCGTGGTTATGGTTATTTGTCACCTTGAAAATTCGAGGTCTTCTAGCCATTTTACACAACAATGTGTGGGTTGGCTCTTGTTGTGGACTTCGTGTGTCTTTTTTCCTCTCCATCTTCGTTTCCTCAGGTTACACCCGCAACCGGATGTGTGGGCATGTGTATCTACTTTTGTAGTTGCATATGTGCATTCATTTCGGGCCTGATGAAGCCAACCAGCAGAAATACGTATTGCTCGGGTTACCTATCCTATTTCTGCTTGAATCCACTTTTTGCGGATTTTGCCCATAATTTTCCTATTTTTGTTATATATATAGAGAGAGAGAGAGATAGAGATTTGTACAATGAAACATTTATTATTTAGTTCCTGTGTCATGATGAGGGCCTGACTGATGTCAATTTTTAGGCCACATCTGCAGACAGTGTTTTGCTTTTAACACACCCTCCGGCTGAAGCTAAAGGTTGGGCTAATGGACAATGAGTGCTGTGATGTATAATGCTCTATCAAAAGCTATCGAAATTAGATAAAAGGTGAAAATAATGTGATGAGTATGAATACTCAAATCATTTCAAGTTATACTTATTAAACAGTGTGATTTACATAATCATGGTTTCACAACACTTATATATAACATGTTACACATTTATTTAATCAGAATTAAAATTTGTACCTATGCAAAATTCCAATATAGCGACCATAGGAATAAATAAAGTCGATGATTGAGGGCGGAAAAAGAAACGTCATATTGAAATTCTAATTATGCTATCTTGTATAGAAGAAAAACTGGCAATGTTAAAATTCTTTTCCGGTTATACTCCGAATATCCAGACTTTCTAAGTGTCATTTTCAGATGGTGAGATGTCGAATTTGAAACACCCGCATGGGTATTACGTAAAGAATCTATATATTATCAAAAAAAAAACTATAAAATGTCACCTTGTTGACTAAGTAGCCTAGTGTGCAAGTAGTTCATCATCCGCTTTCTACAAGTGAGCATGAGCATGAAGCGAACGACAGCTAGTTCCAAGTTGACGTCTTGTTGGAAAACCTAAATAGTGCAAAGGAAACCAACATATTGGTTCGATGGTTATAGTCCTTCAGTCTAATCCATGTCTCACCACAGAACAGTCTAACATCAGATTGGTTGTTAGTTTTGCTAGTATCAGTTATGTTTGCAAACCTACTCACATTGTGATACTTAAAACGTATCTTACTTTATGTAACTATTGAGATGTTCTGGCAATGATTTTCAAATGGTGTCACTCAACTTTATAGACCTAACTGAACTGGTTGAATGTTTCCAATCATCCATAAACTTCGGAAACGCATTGCCGGTACATTCTTACTGTTTTCTCAATGACTCATTCAATTTATCCCCTATTTTGTTTGGTTTACACGTCTAACAATAGTTGCCTTAAATATAGATATGTAAATTAAAAAAGTGATTTATATAAGATATAGAAAATGTATAAATACTGGTTTGTGGTTTTCAGTGGGTGAAGTAGAAACTGCCTTGAAAGAACTATCTGCCAAACAATTCCTGGATAAATATGGGAGAGAAAAGCCCGACAAACAATGTACAATCATATATTCATGTAAGACAGGCCGTAGAAGTGGCAAAGCCCAAGAAATATCGCAGCAGTTAGGCTACAAAAAGTATGCAAAATTATCTATTTACTACTTTTGCTAATAGATTATCAAAAAAATCGTAGGTGTATACCTACCAGGTCTGCAAATTTTGCCAAATAAACACACATGCGATATAACATTGCTTATAGTTATTGCCATAGAACAACACTATAAGTCGCATATAAATTTCAACTTAATAAAGTCACTAAAGAACAAAAATATCATGATATATAAAGCATGTCTTTCGCTCGTACGCATAGAGAACACAAAAAAATTCTGCCAAATCCCTATGAAAAAATGACCGATGGGTCTTCCTTATGGGGGCATAGGCCTCTGAAGGACGCTACCTGAACCTGCATTGTATAATTCAATGAATTTTTGACATCTTAATAACCACTTGGGGCATCATCGGCGATATTCATAGAAAATAGATGCTGATATTCCTTACACCCTGTATAATAATTGCTCGGAGGACAACAATCTTGTTTCAATTATGGGTTTATCGATTCTCACTAGAGCCAAAACTTGATCAATTGATATGAAAATGTATATCCCGCGGCTTTGTAGGTTGCTGCTTAGCAAGCTGTTATCAGAATTGATATATTTTCAAAATTGCGGAACAAGTATATACACTAGATCAAGTGCCAAAATGAATAGACCTTTACGTATTTGTTGTTTTCTATGAATAGCATCAGGTGAGATACTAATAAATTACTAAGCTATCAAAATTTCACTGAATTGTATAGAGTCGTTTAAAAATAATAGAAAAGCGTTTCCAATAGCGTCCTTTAGGGGCGTGGACCTCCATCGGGGAACTGCGTAAGTCACTTTATTTATAGTAACTTCTGGCATTATGTTTGTATTGTCATGTTATTCTGGGGCACCATGTATACAATAAATACAAAATGTTTTTTTTTCTTTCCAGAGTTAAAAACTTTGTTGGAGGTTGGACAGAATGGGAAGAAAGAAATAAATCATAAATACAGCATGTATGCTATATGTATAAAGAAAAAACACCACATTAAGTAAATAAATTTGTCTTCTTGAATATATCACTATCCATTTATTTATTTTTTAATTTCTCTACTTCAATACCACGTAGATTCCAGAAGAACGTGGGAGATATAACACAACTTTATATGTGTAAATGAAGCTAAATGATATAATAATAATGGTCCTTATTCTGTTACATTATACATCCAACAGACATAATACGTACAGATAAGACACTAAATTTTTTAGAATGGAATGGTACGGCAATGATCAATTGTATCATGTGTGTGCTTCTACATTTAATAATATCACCTCCAAGACGAATAATCGAAACGAATATTTACACCTGAAATCTCTCATCACTAATATCGATCCTTGTGAGACAGTGAGACCACCACATAAAAGATCAAAACACAAGTTTTGTTTGTTGTGTTCAGGCTCAAGCTAAACTATTTTCATTTTCGACTGAGTGCAGTTGGTGCCAGTGGTTCAAGTACTGCATACTGTAACCTGTAACACCACACATCAGTGTCTGGCATTGTACGAGAAACTTAACAAAATTTCTGCTCACTTAAAATTAGTTTTAATATAACACAATTGATTCAGTAGCGCAGGACACCGTAAGTTGCTTTGAATTAAGGTTGCCTGTTTTTAACTGTGTGCATGACCTGTGGTATGACTTTAAAATGGTATTTAAATAAGGGTTGAAACTGCATTTGCAGGTAAAAATGGACGAGATCAATTTTGAAGAAGTAAGACGGCTTTCAACAGAATGTGATGCTAGCAATTATATTATTGATGTCAGAGAACCTTCTGAACTTGAAAAGACTGGTATTATACCAAAAAGTATCAACATTTCATGTATGTACCTACTCATATATAGTTCTTTTCTCTCAAAGCACGTACGTCATATTTAGTAAATCTGAATTCCAACCTTAATGCAAAATATATCCTGAATTGGTACGTATAGCTTGAATGTCCCGGGTACATTCAAGTTTTAAGTAATGTGGCAACTATTGATTCAGTAGAGATTTTTTCGCGAGATCCCGATTCCCGATGTGAACAGGAGCGGGAACAGATGGAATTTCCCTTTCCTCTCGAAGTTTTGACAGTTTCCAGTTACACCGGTAGTAGTTAGATGGCGCATATTCCGCAAAATGTTAGCTTTAAGATCCTTGATAAACTCGGCTGTCTTGTTAGAATCTGAATTGGCCCGACTAAAGATAACATGGCCACGCAAGACAAGTATTGACTCTAGAAGACTATCCGTAGCGACATTTTTCTCGAAATCGTTGCACACCGCTTAAAAACTGCAAATGAGGATTGGAAAACTGCCGCTTTGACGTAGTGCAATGTGCGAAATTTATTTAAAAAACAGGATGTCAACCCTAACACACAACTAGATGCGTATGCAAGATTCACCTAGTTTGCTGCGCGAATATCCTGTTTTCCCTCAGAAGTGTTGGAGGTAGACCTAATTTCCACTTTGGAGACACTTGACACCCTCGTCACAACACTAAAACACCAAAGCAATACTGAGAGACAATCGAGAACCCGATAGTGAACACCACCACTGAAAAAAGTAACTAAACCGAATAGAGCTCGGCACGGAGCTGTGAACGCCTAGACATTCCGCTGCGTCGACGGTTGCCGAGAGACTGAGTGCTACCGGTCAACGTAAACACCGAGGCGCTTCGGAGCAGACGCGCGGAGTGGGAGCTGGAAAGGGGTGTGGCTGTACTACCCGGCCGTACTGTACCGCCGCGGCGAAGTACAGCACTCGCACGCATCAGTCTCTCGGCAATCGTCGGCGCAGCGGAATGTCTACGCTTTCACACTTCCGTACAGAGCTCTATTCGGTTTAGTGGTGTTCTCTATTGTCTCTCAGTGGTGCCTTGGTGTTATGACGTGGGTGTCAAGTGTCTCCAAAGTGGAAATTAGGTCTACTTCCAAATCTTCTGAGGGAAACAGGATATCTGTGTAGGAAACTAAGTGAGCCTTGCATACTCATCTACTTGTGTATAAGGGCTGACATCCTATGTTTTTTCAAATAAATTGCGCACATTGCAGGCACGGAGAATTAGTCATATGCTGAGGCACTTTCGAAAAAGTAAAATTTGTATTGTGCAACGATTTCGAGAAAAATTTGGCTAGGGATAGTCTATAGTATATTTCAATAGTTGCCTTGCGTGGCCATGTTATCTTTACTCGGCCCTCTGAATTAAATATACAGATAGTTTTTTCTGCAAAGTACATATATATATCAATAAAAATCAAGCATTTGATATGACAAATGCGGTTCCCATATCTTCGATGACCTTCTCCCTCGTCATTTAAAATCAGGTGCGCATGTTTCTCCGTTTATGATTTAATATAACTCATTTTTCGGCACTGCGAAGACAAAATTTCAATTGAAATGTCTGTGTTTTATATGACATTGACATAAGACCTGTCACCCGTTAGTACCTCACAGACGTTCGGCGGTTACCCGTACCCCGTGATTTTTTGACATTTGGATGACGCCACATCCGTCTTTCCACATTCCCGTTCTTCGCGAAAATTTGATTATCGGAGTATCGGTTCCCGGTAGTGCACTGTGTAGCACAGTCTCCCGAGTATTAAAGAATACACTTTCTATTCTCTATTTATTAGTTGCTCTACGTCCTCATTTTAATTCTTACGGAGCGTTTGTTTGCGAATAGAGTTGTAGAAGCCCATTGATATTCTTACTTTTTATCACGGTTATCTAGTAAAAATATCATCGCATGTCATATAAGGTATTTAGCATTCAGTGGTCCGTGTTTACTCGAGAGTCCCAGGATCGCTCGCATTCCTGCAATTGTCAAGAATAGACCCCAGGGCTCAATATTGGGTCGCTTTGGTTCATGAGAAATAATAGCGGTAGCATTATGTTTTATAAAACAACCAGGCACAGTACGGTTTGTAAATATAAAATACAATCTAGTGGCTATTGGAGTTGCGCCAAGTGCTTGTGTAACGCATAGTAGACGGTGTCAACAGGCACCAACGATTTCGAATAGATTAGGAGCCAAGCCCTGTATGTTTACATTTCAATATTTGTCGGCAAAATTACGTAGTTTTAGTGCATACTTTTGACCAATTTGCCTACGAATGCCTACCAGTGACACTACTGTATCAACATAATCTAATACTTGTGCCGCTATTTGCAAATTATGTAATAACACCACAATGATCTACAAACACTCGCACTTTTAAAAAAAAACTCTAAGAGCCGTATCATCAGTCGTTCCTACAATTGTAGGACGCCTTTATGGCCTGCTTGAGTTTCATAGTTTTCTACTTTTACGTATCACCGCTCTATTTTGAGGTCATGTTACAAATATCTATCTGCATCAAATTGTTCATACTTTTATATCATATTCAAAAAGAAAACATCACTTCACAATAGGAGGACGCTGACACGGAACAGGTGCAATCTGGAAATTTTATGGCTTTAACTGCTCGGCTACCAGCTGCCTGAATACATCTCCTCTTTACTGGCTGGGCATAGATGAAGCAATGTATTCTGACAGCTCGTAGCTGAGCAAGTGTGAGGACACTCTGTCACACACACACACGCTTGTAATGCGGAGGGATCGTATTTATAACCGAATGTAATCATTAACAGCCACCATTAGTTTGATGACCCCTTTTATATGCTATACCCAATGCTTTTTACAATTTGAAATACGTTTCATTTTTCAGTATGTGAACTACAGCAAGCTTTAGAAAAACTTTCGGAACAAGAATTTCTGGATAGATATGGAAGAAACAAGCCTGACAAGCAGTCTTCGACAATCATATATTCATGTCTGTCTGGCCGTAGAAGTAAACAAGCCCTAGAGATAACGAAGCAGTTAGGTTACCAAAAGTATGATAAGCTTTGATTTCCTGTATGCATTTTAAAAACTATATCCTTTTGCTTTTAGTGTTAAAAGCTTTTCTGGAGGTTGGAGTGAATGGGAGAAAAAATCAACAGCTGAACCCCAATGACGTACTTACTAGTATCACATTGTATATATATCATATATTACTTTGGGCATACATATAATGTGAGCACATATCGAATGGGAATATAACTATTTTATGAACTACCCTTTTATTTCTAATTTTGTATGTAATAATCAACTTAAAGCTGAAAGCGGACACGCCTCGTCTATGTTAACCAAAATGTTCTATGTATGTATTTTAATATCGTGGATGGCCAAGTTTGCCAAAGAGCCGTTCATTTCAGTCCAGATCATCGAGGACTTGATCTGGCACGAACACACCTCGTCAATAGCCGAAGCTGCTGGGTAAAAGCTGGACTTTTTGTTTAGGGCTAAGAAGTATTTTTCTCCGCATGACAAGGCACATATAAGACCTAGCCTCGAGTATTGCTCACACGTTTGGGGTGCCGCCGTCCCGACTACATTATTCATTCTTGATGCTGTTCCGACTGATCGAAAACTATTCTCTAAAGAACAGTCTCGGGGCTACTTCGCTACTTCCCATCCTAGATGACAGTTTTGGTACTACGGGCTCGGCCGTCGGCAATCGATATATAGATATATATATATATATATATATATATATATATATAGGTGAAAATTAAAGCTTTCCGCCCAAGTTATATATATATATAGAAAATATAATTCATTTGCAGATCTCCATTTGCTGCTCACACTACGCCAAGAAATATCGATACATGAATTTTGAATGAAAGAAAAAAAATAGTTATTACAAAACATTTATAATTTCAATAAACCCAACTTGCTGACAACATAGTTGGTAGTATGCAAAAAGTTCATTCCGCGCTTGCTATAAGTGAGCGTGAAGTGAACGACGGCTAGTTTCTGGTTGACATTTTGTAGGAACACCTACATAGTAAAAAAACGACAGTCACTTTATAAGTTACGTAAAACCCCTAAAGGAGCTGGATGCCAGAGGAAAATTCGAATATTTGAAATAACCTGCCGAATTGAAAATCCCATCTCTACATCAAACGGTTTGTGGCATAGAATTTGACAACTGTTGAGGACAAATGGCCTGTAATGCAAAAAAAAAAACAAGTGAGGTTAGGAGTGTTGACATCTAGCTGTCAGATGCACCAAAAGAGGCGACCGAAGTGTTTACTACTGTGTCTCTACTCGCACTGTTATCCGAAAAAGGACATTTATTACCGTGCATGTCTGACAGCGAAACCAGTGAGAACGATCTCGGTGCTGTGACCGAAAAGACAAGACTGATGGACGGTCATGTCGCTGCAAACGGTGGCTCCAGCAGTGGGCCAACAGAGGGACTGGAGCACCAGCCCAGGAAAAGGCCAGACGGCCCCCTGCTACAGAAAGTACTCATTTGAGGTATGATACGATGATGCTCATTTGTTTGCAATTTATCTTTCAAAAATAGCATAAGCACATATCTGAATTATAGTTCTACATAAGGTTTCCCAGAGAGTTATGTGTAATGATCCTACAGCATATGTTGTATTGGATATATTTAAGACTTGACTTTGTTTTAAAAAGGTGTGAAAATATAGGGGTCCTCAGTGCTAAGTTAGTAGTAGTTCTAGGGAGATCAAACAAGGCATGTAGGGCACCTTTGACCCTTTTTGTTCTAGCAGCAGGTTCTCCCCTATAGCCAGTAGCACAAAATTGAAAACTCCATTTTTATAAATTGTGAACAACTCCAAGCACTGCCTAAAGGTAGCATATCATTAATGCTAGTGCAATACTACATAACAAACAGTGGATAAAAGTGCATAATGTGGTAATCAACATTGTCGGAGAGTGTTAAATTGAATATTTTCTATAACGACATGCTCATCTAAACCTATGAGATGAAGCTAATAGCTAACAAGAAGCCATGCATGCAAAAGCACAAATTTTTGTTTGCATTTGTGGTTTGTGACACTGTGGGTTAGGCAGTATTGAGGTAGCATCACAATATGCAGTAATGTGTTTATCTCTCTTTCAAATAAAAGTTCGATTAGAGATTGAATTCAAGCTATCTTCATTAATCTCATTTTAATAGGTATTATTTGTTATATTTGGACAGATCAGGCGAACATGCTGGTACAAGTGATCAAAGACAGTCTGCAGTACAGAATGATATGCCAGTAGGTCCTTCACAAACAATTGACGAGGAAGAGGAACTGAAATATGGTGCTAAACATGTTATTAAGCTGTTTGCACCTGTTTCACTCTGCATGGTTGTTGTTGTAGCCACAATCAGTGCTGTCAATTTTTATTCTGTAAAAGACATGTATTTGTAAGTATTTGTCTATCTGAACTTTGAAGTTTGTAGTCTTTTTTCATATGTGCTAGGTCTTACAAAGCATTAAAATGTACAACTATCTCCACTAGATTATAGTAAAATTGGTTCATACCTCCATCTCCCTTGCATACAGGATGGCCAGTTGAAACAGAACAAGACCAATCTCTCATAAATGATATTTGGGGAAAAACCAATTCGACCTGTCGATTTTTATTTTAGGGGGAAATCTTTTGCACACATTATCAAAATCTTCTTTCTTTCACCTCCTCAGCAAAGTGAAATGCAATCCTTAAACCTCAAAATAGAAGTTTAGCTGTTTTGTACATTGATTTGCTTATAATTCAACCAGTAATGCTCAAAACTTAATAGTCTGTTATATCAGTCTTCTCCTTTTGGAAGATTCTATCTAAAAATATAGTAAAACATTCACTTCAAAAAAAAAGATGGGCAGATTTCAAATTTTTTTTGTTTACTGGAATAATCCATATTTTATTTCATTTTCGGATAGAACCTTCCAAAAGAAGTAAATTGATATAACATTCTATGACATTTTGAGCATTAGTTGTTGAGTTATAAGTGACTCAGTGTACAAAACATTAAACTTTGACAACCTGCCAGTCCACCATATTATGTAGGTTAGTGATTTTATATTCTAGGCTCATAGAGTACTGCCCTGAAAATTTTCTCAATAAGAATGAGTGTTCTGCAACTCTGTCTGTTATTATCAGTAGTACAGCTCACTTGTCAAGGGCGTGCAATTTGAATTTACCCTTTGTTGGTGTTCAGTATAAAATACAGCAATTTTTTACTATCAGTAAACAATTTTCATATTTTATGCTGAATTCAATGAAGTATTTCCAGAAAATGAATATAATTGAGAGCCCTTGAGTACCCACATCATGTGTGCAACAGCAAGTAGCAGCTGTATTAAAGATCAGTTTGTGCAACATGCAATTTATTTCAGTTGTGAAAGTCAAGTTCCACCCTCTGTATTCAATTTATTTAAAATTTTGTAAGACATAACCGGAGAAATCCGTTTTTTTTTTAATATCACTGATGAGTGAGTCACAAAAACCCACTTCACTTGTTTACGTCTGCCTGACTGATTTGGATAATACTCTGACACAATTCTTTTGATATATTTATGTTTATACTATGTTGCAATAATTAACTTTGCCATATAAATTTAATTTTTGTTTTTTTAGGGTATACACCCCATTCCATGAAGAAAGTCCAGATTCTGGAACAAAAGCGTGGAATGCTGCTGCAAATGCACTAATTTTAATGGCAGTGATTGTAGTAATGACCGTGTTGCTCATAGTATTATACAAATATAGATGCTACAAGACAATCCATGCTTGGCTGATTGTTTCATCATTGATGCTGTTGTCAATATTTTCTTATTTATACTTGGAGTGAGTATTGGTCATGAAAAATAGATTTTTATGTTTTACTATACAGTCTCATTCGTGAATTGATTTTTAAATGCATTTATCAATGCTAAAGTTAGAGGTTTTACAGTTATTGCACTAGTTTCAGCTCGATATTGATATATCATTATTTTTAGGGAAATTTTAAGAGCTTACAACATTCCAATGGACTATCCCACAATCTTGTTGCTTATGTGGAACTTTGGTGTGATGGGCATGATAGTAATTCATTGGCAAGGGCCTTTGTTGTTACAGCAAGCTTATTTGATATTTGTGGCGGCACTGATGGCGTTGGTTTTCATCAAATATTTGCCCGAATGGACGACGTGGGCGGTTTTAGCTGTGATATCAGTTTGGGGTAAGACAACCCAGAATATTTTTTATACTGGCCTGGAGATCTGTTGTTTTTTTGTTAGTTTGGAAGCACAATCAAAACGTTTTGTTTGTTACTCCAATGTCAATCTGTAATGTATGCGCAGCATTAAAATACATTTAGGCCGATAATATGCTGTATTACACTATAGTTCAGCTATTTTTGTGAAGCAGAAAATGCAAACAGTTTCCATCACTATATTTTATTTTTTGCAAACGTGAGCTGAAGTCTACCGTCATATTCCGAAACTGCGTCCATCAATTTGACGTGTGAATAATTCTGAAAAAATGTTTAAAGTGCAATTATTAATGCAATATTTTTCAGATCTAATTGCAGTCCTCATGCCTAAAGGGCCTTTGAGAATTTTAGTAGAGACAGCACAAGAAAGGAATGAACAAATATTCCCAGCTCTAATATATTCTTGTAAGTATAAGATGATATACACATATGAAGTAATGCATAGGTTTAAACAGTGCTTTTTAATGAGTTCTGCATTTAAGTATCGTTTTTGAATCTGATGCGCCTCTTAATATATATTTGTACATTTTAACTATCATCATGTGTTATTAGTTTCTGACCGCCATCCGTCAAATGTAGGTGTTGAAGAGAATCGATGAAATGACGTTACCGAAATTCATAAAAACAACGAATTAGTCCACCGCAAAAAACGGTACACATCACATGATTATTGGAATGTTGTTTATTTTGTATTTAATAATTTTTTCCCATAAACATATGTTCTGGCTGCTTTCCAGATATGGGATAATATGGGGTGATTTTTTGGAATGTTTCACGGCTAGGGAGCAGCGGTGGCGTAACTAGATGGGTCTATTAATCAGTCGCCATGCGCTGCGCGGGTTGGGATCCCTTTCCAAGAGAATTTTCTTCCTGGCTATGGACATTGTGATTTTCCGTACGTAGTAGATGGTCTCTTGACTGTCAAATGCCAATGTACCACCCGGCGGATCTCTAAGGCGGGGCCAGAATGTCTGCATGTTGCATGTTCACGCGTTCCCTCGCTAGAGTCCGTGTAGCGTCCCCCTTACCCCTGAATCCCCATATAGCCCTACAGTATCCATTGGTGTTTCGACCTTAGGCCTTCGAACAGTTCCATGTATAAAAAAAGAATATTCCATGTTTATTCTCATTTTTATGCTCGGTGTTTAGAATGACGAACTACATAACAATGGACAGCCGAAGTGAATGTTGATTTGAAACCTGGTTTCCAGGCGTTTCAAGATAGGCTGTTAATTATTTGTTGGTAATGGAATAAATTTCTTTTAGCAACTTACATGTATGCATATACGAACATGGCGACACCAAGTACTACAGAGGAAGCTTCAAATCCCAGAGTTTCCAGGACGACAAGTGAAGAGCATGGGTTCACGAGGGATTGGGTTGAGAATCATGCAAGTAGGGTCGCTGAGAGGCAGGTTGAAGTTCACAATGTGCCTACTGGGCAAGCACACACCCAGGTACATCATGAGGAGGAAGAACGTAAGTTTCGTTTTTTTTTTAGAGAACATGCCAGGATTTCAGAGGTCATTTCAGAAAAGACTGTGGCAACAAACATGTTTGAGTGTGTGAAAATTCAAATTTGAATGCATTTTTCTGGTTACTTGTTAATACTAAAGAATAAACTTTCTTTATCAGATATATGTTTTTGTCCTTTTCAAACTCAACACAGAAATTTATTATTAGTATTAGATTTTTCGTGAAATTACCTGAAAAATCATGAAAAACTAGCATAGTACTGGAACACCACCAACGATTAATTGGTCAAGGCAGACTTTCATAGATGATGACAGAAATAGAGAGCATTTTGAGTGACCTTTGAGCTAGCTCATTTAAGTCACCTTTTCCTACTGAACAACAAAAAATTGGATCAATATCGGTTGAGGCAGTATGAAGAAGAAGAAGCAATGAACTTTATTTAATAAATCGTCTGTGGATGACATATGTCAAAAAATGCTATAGTACACAACATTTAGTTCATTATTAATTGTCCACTGTCCCTTGTAGACATTATTTTATGCATAAATGATTTACCTGCCATAGTCAAAAAATGCAAAATTCAGATTTTCGCCGATGACACTATGATTTATATAAGTACTAAAAATATTCAGTCTGGTATCTCTTATATAAATGAAGACCTGAAGCTTGTCTCAAAATGGTTAGCATCTAACAGACTAAAATTAAATGCAAGTAAAACGAAAGCCTTGTTAATCGGAAAAAACAATGTACAAATGTTCAACTGAATATTGATGGTGAAGATATTGAATTCGTAGAAAATTATAAATACCTGGGGGTTTTTGTTGACTCTTGATTAATTTTTGATATTCATTATGAAAAAGTTATAAATAAGATTATTAGTAAAGTGGGATATTTATCGAGAGTTTCTGGATGTCTGAGTTCATATAGCAGAAAAATTATCTATAATACCATCATTCTTCCAAATTTCTTTTACTGTTCGACTATTCTATATTTAGCAAATAATTCCATTTTTGAAAGACTGCAAATTTTACAAAATAAGTGCATGAGAATAATCTAAATAAAGATAAATATACTCCAATTAGGCAAATGCTTAGCAAATTAAAATGGCTCAATGTAAAAAAATTTATCAAATATCTTGTAATGATATTCATTTATAAAGTAAAAAAATAATATATTTCCATCAAGTCTAACTAATTTAACATCATCAAATGTCGACCATCATTTACATAATACCAGAAATAAAGATGACTTCCATTTAATGAAAAAGTATAACATATGCTACAAATCTGTATTCCATCAAGGGTTGATTGAATATAATAAATTATACTCGGAGATAAAAGACCAGAAAACTTTGACAAAATTTAAAGTAAAATTGAAAAATCACTTCTTAAATCTACAATTATAGGTTGCCCAGCATTTACATCATACACCATATGGCTTGAATTTACTAGTTCTAAGTTGTTTACAATTATTCTGTAGCCAAATGTGCTAAATAAATCTTTCTACTACTACTACTATAATTTAAATCACAACAGTTGGCATATAGTAAATAAATAAAGAAAGCACCATCCATACATTATAGAGACATAGGATTCTCTAAAACAAAATGCTGAGGCTTTAAAAGAGTCTCATGTTCAAAAGTATATATTATCGAGGTATGAAAACGCCAAACTTGTGGGGATCAGAAATAAAAACAATATTAATCCCTCATCACAATATTACAAAGGGTAGTATAAAAGTTTTGCAATACAGCTTTATTTATTGACTTCATTCAAAGTAATCTCCACCACATTCGATACACTTCTCCATTCGCCAAAACCAGTCCTTAAACCAGCTCTGCCAAGTTTCACCCGGAAGTGTGGCACACTCGTTGTTCCAAGCCTTCTGAAGGTCCTCATCGCTAGAAAACCGTTTTCGTTTTAGCTTAATTTTCACATGCGGAAACAGTGCAAAGTTGCAGGGAGCATGATTTGGACTGTAAGGAGGGTGCTTAAGAAGTTTCAGTCCAGTAGGTCAGGCTGAAGCGTTGTCATGGTGGAGGTACCAAGTGTCGATTCTTGACTGTGGCCGCAGGTTTTTCATAGACTCTATGACTTTAGACGGGCATTGTTCCGTGTACCACTTAGCTGTGACTGTCTTATGTGTGCCCAATACGACACGCTTCACAATCCCACTCGATTTGAAAAATACAGCTATTATTTTTTTCTTAACAGATCGGGATTTTCTGACAGCTAGAGGTGTGACCAGTGTAACGCAAACTTTGTTTTGAGCCTTGGTCGGCACATGGTAATAATACAGGCAAGTCTCGTCAGCTTTCCCGGTGCTGTTCACACACCGAAATTGCCCCTTATCAAACATTTTTCAGCATTTTTCGGCACCAAGTTGTTCCAAGAGTTTTCTGCTCTTCCGTCAGACTATGCGCTAGCCAGAGAGAACAAAGTTTCCTTACGTGTAAATGGTCATGCAGAATTGAATGAATTGCTGGTGCATACAGGTGTAAGGTTTCCTCTATATGTTGGTAGGTCACTCTCCAGTCTTCGTCAAGCATTTTCCTCACAGCAGTAATGTTTTCCTCTGTTACTGATGTTCGCGGCCTTCCTTCCCTCTCAGCGTCCTCCACAGTGAAATTGCCCCTTTGAAAGTCGCTGTACCACCTGAATATACTCGTACGTTGAGGACCATCATTCTTTAATGCAAGCGTCTTATCTTATAAGCACTGGTCTATGCTTAAACCACGCGTAAGTTATACCGTAAAACTACCCTTATCTCACTACGTGACCACGATGCCATAGTTCGCACTTTACACTGTCAATACGAATGAACAACTAAATCAACAGACGTGCTGATGGCGGCTACTATGCACTCATGGACATGCCTCAACATACAGTAACATGCAGCCTCCTGCGTCCGTTTGTTAAGTCATATTGCAAAACTTTTATAGTACCCTTTGTATATGCAAGCTACAGAGCTACAGATACTTTCAAGCACAAAAAAATAATTTTCAGCAATTGTGGAGTATAATTTGTTTCTTTTTTCAGGCGGAGTCAAACTGGGATTAGGAGATTTTATATTCTACAGTGTATTAGTTGGAAAAGCATCATCTTATGGAGACTGGAATACAACGTTAGCTTGCTTTGTAGCAATTTTAATTGTGAGTATATAATTAAATCAAATGTAAAATCAAAAACAGTAGTTCTGTGATTATTATCCTCGCAGGCAAAACCAAACAAATAGATTTAGATAATGTAACTCCTGAAACTTATCATGTGGTTTTCATGTTCATAGGAATCCATTATCTGGTCATAACAAACCACATACATATGTTTTAATATTCTCTTTATTATACGACATGGTAGCTGAAATGTATAATAAACAGGAATTAAAACATTGATTTGATTCTTCCAGACAATGGATTCCTATGAAAAAATACACTTTTTAAATTTCCTGTGTAATTATTTACGGTTTTCTAAAATCGTTTTTATTTTTAGGGTTTATGTTTGACATTGCTACTGCTGGCAATATTCAAGAAAGCTCTGCCAGCGCTTCCGATTTCTATCACATTTGGACTAGTATTTTATTTTGCCACCAAAGAAATTGTCAGTCCTTTTACTGACAGTTTAGCTAGTGAACAAGTATTCATTTAATATTTGATAATGAATTCCGTTAGTTTATCATACATATTTTATTAATTTAAATAGGAATTTTAACACTTTTTCGATATGATGTACAAAAAAAACAATAAACATTTTTGGTCCACCCATACATTGTTTACATTCTTCATCATATTCCAGTATCGTATTTGTTTCATCAGTAAAAACATAGAAATGTACATAATTATTGTTACAGCATCATTTTATACCTCAAACGAGTTTGAATTTTTGTAAAATTATGATGTACAATCAATATAATATTAATTTGAAAGATGCAACAAAAATCCAATAATACATAATATTTTGTTAACAATAAAAAATAATTTTAACTATCCTGCATTTTAATCACATTTCTCCACTTGATTTAAATTATAAATGCTAATCACTACCCATGTCAACAATTTGAACAGTACTTTCAGGATTCTGTTGCCAGGGGCAATAGTTTCTATTATTCATATCAAATGTTTTTGTTTGTCCACACAAATTACATATCCAACGAAGTCTTTTCTTCTTCATTCTTACTCTGCAGTTTACACCTGCCAACAGTAAAGTTTTGCATCCTTTACAGATCGTTCTTTTAGTTTCAATATCCCTAAAAGTTCAAGTATTGTATACTCTCATTATTGTTGTCTGAATAATTCAAAAAAAATCTACAAAATATTTGATTTCTAATCACATCCAGTCAACTTTTCCAAAACAAGTAGCTAATCTGCAGTGACCCTGACTGCTCCAATTCCTTTACCTTTTTTCATGACATACAGTAGCGGACAAAAGTTTGGAAACAAATATTAAAATTAATATGAACTATTTATATATTTATATATTATCTATATAAATATGAAAGTCTACCTTTGGCTCCCGTGCTAATACAGGGTTTATCTTATCAATATTCAAATTCTCTGAAAATAAAGACACGCGTATTTTTATATACCACAGTTTTTGTAACGACAAAAGTATGGAAACACTTCTGTTTTGCCGTATTTATTCGTTCTGCGATACTCTGATATTGCGTGCAATAAATATTAACATCAGTGAGAGTGGCAAAAGTAAAAGAATTTTCAAAAGATTTAAGAGACAAAGTAAATGAATTATTTAGAAGTGGTGTCAGAAATGTTGACATTTATCAAAGATTAAAAATGAACCAAGGGAGATTTCGAAAATTATTAGTAAATGTCAAGAATACGGATCAACAACAACGCGGCCCAGGTGCGGAAGACCGAAGAAAACCGATTATGTTCTGGATCGCTACATTAAACGAAGATCCTCAAATGCCAGTCACACATATTTTCAAAAGAATCGTAGAAGAGGGTGCCGAGAATTTTTCTGTCAGAACAGTGCAGCGAAAATCGTATTGCTAGGCTTGAATTTAACAAAACTCATCTAACTTGGACAGAACAACAATGGAACACAGTTTTATGGAGTGATGAAAGCAAATTTAACTTGTTTGGGTCTGATGGTACGGCATATGTGAGACGTGAAATACGAAAATGATTCGACAAAAAGTATCAGTTGCCAACAGTTAAGCACCATGGAAGCAACTTCATGGTTTGGGGCTATTTTTCTAGTTCTGGAACTGGTCCAATTGTTAGGAAAATGTATCAAAAACCTTACAAATATATTCTTAATGAATACATGCTCTCTTTTGCTAAAAAAGAAATGCCTTTATGAGGGACATTCCAGCAAGATAATGACCCCTAGCATATCTCAAAATTCGTAAAGGACTAGTTAAGACTAAAAAATGTTAATGTTCTTACATTGCCTTCGCAATCCCCAGACCTAAACCCTATAGAACATCTCTGGGAGCATGTTAAAAGACAACTGACAAGAAACACTTAAAAAAACAGGAACGATTTACTAGATTACGTAAAAATATATTTGGCAAAATATCCCAACAGACGTCTGTAAAAAATTTGTGTCTTCTATGAGCAGCAGGATGTCAGGCAGTGTTGAATGCTAAATAAAGGCTATGCTACCAAATATCAGCTAAACAGTATATTTTCTTTTTGTATAGTTATTGTATTTAATTTTGTAATAAAAAATATATTTCCATACTTTTGTCATCTCATTTTTGGTCATAAAATAGTATGAAGGTATTTTAATGCTAGTCTGTAGTACCACAGCAAACACAAATTGTCATTTGTATCCTTAAGACTGTAAGCTAACTTTATGAGAAAAAAATAGTCAATAAAAAGAATAAAAAATCAGAACACTTTTTAAAAATAACTAAGACTGTTTCCAAACTTTTGTCCGCTACTGTATATCTTTCTACTTGGTCAACTGAGACTTACATTCTTTGGACAGTTTTCTTTGAAATACTCTGCATAAGATTGATGTAATGTATTGAAGCGACATACTTCGATTCATTTTCTGTAACTAGTGCATTTGCTGCCTGAAAATAAGAATATTGAAAATCAAATAAACTTTTTAGGGACTTTTTGAAGGTCAGTCAAAATTAATGAATGAATGCATTGAATACAGTCCTTTGATAGAAAAAAAATAAGGATCTATTAAAAATACCTGATATAAATAATTCATCCTTTGGAATGCTTCCTTCCCAGCACATTTTTTTACTTTACCGCTCATTTCGGTAGTTCATCCACACAGTAGGTCAAATACACTTTCAAAAATAGACCACCCAGCTGACGAAGACAGATGAAGGCGATGATAGCTGTCAAAAAATAAAATGTGAGGTTAAGTATCTATTTTGGTTTATTTATATTCAAATCATTTTCATATTTCTAAAGTATTGCTGGAGCGACTAAATGTATTTTAAACTACCATGGACTTTTCTTGGGCTGATCCATACCCAGAGATCCACAAAATATGTAATCTTTTCCAACTTAGTGAAGTATCAAACCCAGTGAAATTTAGCTACAAATCCCTAAAAGTACTTCAGCAAATTGGCCCTCAGTGTGGGTTGGTAGCTTTAGCAATGTGCCTAGGTAGATCTGATAGAGAGACTGTTGACGAATTGTATAAAACTGCCAAAGATAGGGGTTACACTTATAATGGGGAAATGTTTAGTGTTCAAGATATGTTCCAATTAGCAAGTTATTTTTCACCAAAAAACACCTATGTCAAAATATATGAAGGAGATATGAACTGCAAAGAAGTGCAGGATTTTTTGTTGAAAGGTGGAATGGTACTAGTACCGTATCCTTTTTTTGTACTGAAGCTCCGAATTTAACGATGCAGTGATTAGAAAAAACTATGTTTCAAACCAAGTACATTTTACTATATTCTTTAACAATAAAAATAGATATGATACAAACAAGGACAACTCTCCAGGCTTGCTGAATGGCCACAAGGCTCACTGGGCTGTGATTTGTGGAGCAATAAAAACTACAGACGACTTTTATGTGATAGCAAGACATGGTAAAGCAAAAAACGTGAATATATGGAAGCTCTCACATATAGCCAAGAGCAACAAACAACTGTTAGACTTTGCTCCTGATCAAAGGCATCAAGAAATTGAGTACAAATTGCCAGAAGGAGGGATTAGTGGGCCTGATGGGCTGAATCAAAAGTGTTTGCTGATTAATTTAGAAAAACAGGTGTGATATTGTGATGCTGACTGTTTTAACCTATTTTTGTTACTAACATTAATTACTTACTAAATTAAGTCAATTTGAACTGGCAGTGCAATAAATAAATATAACAAAACCAAACACAATATTCAAATATTTAGTAAATAACATTTATCTCTGACAAATTTGACATTCGAGTTCTAGGACATTTTGCGCCATCTATTTTGTAAGCTCCTTATTGCGACAGCTGATTATTACAGTTTTCTCTTAAGTGAAACATAATTATTGTATATAGTCCTAGTACTCTGTGTTAATGCTTAGCAAGATCAAGTGAAATTAAAAGCACCACTAAGAGATGGCTCTGTAAGGCTCCCAGTGGCATACCTAAAGTAATTGGCATAGGGAAAACTATTGAAAAACACTGGAGGGTGTACAGATAATAAGGGGAGCTATTGTACACCATAAATAATAATTATACAAGGTGATGCGTAAAGCCATGGCAACATTTAAAAGCCAACTACGTTAAAAAATAATACGAAAAGGTCTTGTAAACGTGAAACCTAAAATGCTCCTGTACGGTATACAGGTGGTGTTGAAATTGTTGAATCTACGAAATTGAAAAAAATCTATATTTTATAGTTAGTATATCAAGGGCATAAACAATACACCAAAAATTACTGCGACTCAAACTAAATCAGGGGGGTGTAAAAGGCAATATATCTACCCACGTCCGAGACTGGATTGAAGAAAGGAAGGATGACGTGCCCCCTAGAAGGCCCAGTGGTTTCAGATTTCAAGTAGCTTTTAACTTATTCATTCATCACTGTGAAGTACCCACTCAAACACGCCCGTTACCTCAATTTTATGTAAAAAAAATATAGAAGAAATTGCGGGTATTACTTATCCTGAAAAGTGACATTTTGACGGCTTTTTTGACAAGGGTATCGTAGGTTTTTTGTGCTATAAGGTAGGCTTTTCTACAAGATGTTAACATAGCACAAGCGGTTGGGAACTCGTTTTGTAGCTGCACGTGTTGCTTAAACGTCAGCGAACAGCGATCATAGCAAAGCAATTTGCACACTAAAAACTACCTAGTCTGCAAGATGACATTTCGTCGTTTTTTTGCACATTTTAGCAGTGACGAGATATTAACCATTCAAAATACCAAGCACACGCAGCAACCTATAATGTGTCGGTACTTGTTACACTACAAACGCGTGCCTTTTGGTCTTTCACTCACGTGACAAAAAAGGTGGTTTTAGTCAGTTCCCCCCAGTGTATCGATTTTTAATGACATTTTGTAGGTTTTTTTCGAAAACTACTTTTAGCTGTCATTCACTTCATGTTCACATGTACTAGCTGTGTATGTTGCCTAAACGTTATGACACTCGAACGGTTTGGTTTGGCTCGCCATCTAGCACCAAAGAATTCCACTGGGACCAGTATGACTTGATTGCTTGTGACAGTGGGGTGACTTCTTTCCAGGTTGGTCGATGGTCCTCCTTCCACTGCTTCAGCCGTTTGATATCAGGGTCATGCTCCTGATCTTTACGGATACTGTCTTCTCCCTGAACAGAATGCACTTTTTCTGGTTCAATTTCACGCTTGCACCTTGAAGCCTCAGAAACAGCTCTTTTGAATTCCTCAGATGCTCGTTCAATGTCTTGCCTACCACGATATGATGCCGTCCAGGGTCCAGGTAGACGAGGCATGTCGACATATTATAAACATCAATGTTTTAGCATCAATGTATCGATGTTTT